GTTATTTTGAGGGGACAGCAAATTTACACTGTTATACAAGCTGTACACTCACTACTTTACATTGTAGCAAAGTGTCATTTCTTCAGTGTTGTCACATGAAAAGATATAATAAAATATTTGCAAAAATGTGAGGGGTGTACTCACTTCTGTGAGATACTGTATACCTATACATTTGAATTCATAATTTAATTTGTAACTTAATATTTTTTCATCCATGCCATACTTTTTGTCAAAAACATTATCAAGACTCTACAACTTAACATTATTTCTGCAGCTGCATGGCATTTCAGAAAATGTAAATGAATTTATGCAGAATCGGTGTAATTACAGACTTTAAACATATCTTTTTAGTATAATAACCACTTAAAATGCAGCTACTGTGCTGTTTTTGCAGTGTAAAGATGACATAAGTTAACAAAGGGCCTGGATTCACGAATGGAGTATGTTTTTCTAACACAAATCCATTTCCAGAGATTAAAAGAGCACATGCATGGTACATTTAAATGTAAATTTGATCCCATATGACATTTGGCTTTCTAAAAGCACCCACTGACACATTAAAAATCATGAACATTTCAAACTATTTCCTGCATCCCACAAAAGAGGCAGAGCGCTCGTGTCGACCCACATTGAGCTCGTCACTGAGAGTCTTCCCCCAATCTGCTTTTTAAATAAGGCAAAGTGTTTTGATGTGTTTGAATCCACGCCAGCATATTTATACAGTTCTGCGGTGCTTTTGGCTCAAGAAGAGTAGTATTAATGTGCTGTACTTTTACGTAATTCATCAGAGCTGTTAAAATGAATTATGCAGCTTTATCCCACCAATTAGATTAAAGGATGAGATTTATTCTGCTGCTCTAGAGTGTTGACACTTTGATGGGCCTTTTGAAATCAGAGGTCAGGGGATTGCTGAAGTTTTTTCTACACAGTTAGCGGGATAAAAGATGGAAATCGCTCTTTAGCGAAGCCTGCTTTTGCGTGGGACCAGTTCGAAAGACACTTGGAACACATGCACCTGTCTCCTGTTCATCCTCACTTGAGCACTCCTGTCGAGCCGTGCTGTACTTAAGTAATGGCGCTGGCCCACCACATTCACTGTTTGGTCCTCTGCCAATTTAATCATTATAGAAGTCAACTTAACAACCCATAACTAATGTTGACTCGCCTGTAAAATTCTATTGAGACGGCAAACTCTGGCACTTACCTGAGCGCCAATTAAAATGCTTTACTTTAAATAAGGGCATTGAATGATACATGTAAATGGCTTTTGTCACAGGCTTACCAGCAGAAAATAAAACAAATCACACTTTGGTTTTTACAATCATACAAATATATTAGTTTTATTCAATAATGTTCAATAATACATCTCCCATAGACTTATAGAAATAGATATAGATTCTATTGCAAATGCAGGGCTGAGAGTGTATGCAGAATAGAGTATTAAGAGTAACAGTGAGTTAATAAATACTAAACAGGAATCATCCTCCTCATAATTTTTTTTTTCATTTAAATTTTTAATGTGTCCAGTAAATATTGGTTCATGCATGACTGTATTGGGTTGTTCCTTCCAATGTTGCAAAACATTTCTGTCCAAGTTGTCCAGTTTTACGTCTTTTCATCCTGTGACATGGGGGAAGCCAAAGTTTGAGCGATTCTGTTGAAACTGTCCTAGTGGTTATTGATTTCTGTAGCTATAAAAATTTAAAATAGTGTCATCGTGGCTTTGACTGGAAGACCTTTGCTTTGTCTTGGATTGGAAGACAAGAAAAAAGTAATATGGTTTAGTTTCCTTTCTTTTGGAAGACTCAATTACAATAACTTGGATAATCCATGCAGAACTTACAAAAATGATGGGATTCCTCTGATATAAAGCAGACTCTCATTGTCCATAAGCAAATCGCCCACATGTACTGATATAAGAGGTGGGCGTTTCAGTATCCACACAGTTTTGTGTGTTGCGTCGACAGCGACAAACCAGCAGTCAGTTTTGCTGCAGTAGATTCCAACCAGTGTCCATTGAGGATAAAAGATCATGACCTCTGTCATCTGGTAGAGCAGGGATCAATGTTCATGACGCAGGCCAAGAGTTCTGGCCTATCACTCTTGGTCACTAGTTGTGTTTTTGATCTTCCCAAAGTAAACTAAACTGTGTCTGTTTGCCCCACAAAGTTAAATGGCAACTCATATCCACACTGTTTCACCATTTTATACCAAAAAAAAGCAAATAAATGAACAACAACAAGACATATGACCTTTTTTAAGGGACACAAAAACTGAACCCACAAACATTTTAGACAGTAAAAACAGTTACATTGGTTCATGTTTAAAAGTGTCACATGATTATGACCACAAACATCTGAAGAGATGGAACAAAGAGAGACTCACTTCTATTTAAACTCTGGCCATTCAGTTTTAGAAAAAAAAAAGTGATATGGTCTTATATCCTGTGAGATGGGGAAGCCAAAGTTTGAGTGATTCTGTTGAGTTTTACAGTTTAAAGTTAAAATTAGTTTATGTTTTATATGATAAAAGTGTTATATCTGAAGAGACAGAACAAGGTGGGACTGGAGCCACTTCTATTTAAACTGGCCATTCACAGATAAAAAAAAATAAAAATAAATAAAAAAAATAAATAATAATAAGTATTATTATGGAAATATTTACTATCCAATTGAAAATAATAACTAATAATACTCATTTTATTTTTTTTTTATTATGTCTTCATTCTGTGAGATTGGGAAGCCAAAGTTTGAGTTTTACAGTAAAAATCGTTAAAATTGCTTCATGTTACATTGTCATTTCTATTTAAACTTTGGCCATTCAAAAGAATAACTTTTATAAATTACATTTTTATCATTATAATTTTATTCAAATATGTAATATTCAATTTAAAATAATAAAATAAGTAAATACACTAAGTAATAACACTAAGTCTATTTAAAAACAAACAAAACAAAGACTGCATTTGTGATTGCATTTCAGATCATTTCACATCAAATTGACCCAGGGGAGACACATTCTCCACAAACATCATCTCTATACAGCCACATAAACAGCGGTTAAACTCTAAACTAAAGGTTACCTCATAGGGACCAGAGGAGAACACTGTGATTATCCTAAAGCTGGGATGGAGCTGAGGAACTCAGATTTTTAAAGGTCACCCTCTCAACACACATCTGCTGAGAGACTAATACCCCACTGCTGTGTATGCAATGCAGATGTGGTGTGAGTCTGTGCGTTTAAAATGCAGCAGAGTTTCTCTCTCTCTCGTGGTCACACACACATACAGAGGCAATGACATTCAGCTGAGGGGAAGCGTGGTACATTTGCACAGTGCTGTTGTGAGGGCTAAGAGATGCATCCTGGGGGACAAGACTTTGGTCGAACCGTGGGAGGAGGGTTTAGTTTTTGTCTTTTCTGCTGCATTGCAGATACTGGGTTGGGGCTACTCCTCAAAGTCACGCACACATGAACACACACACACACACATACACACACACACACACACACAACACACACACACACACAGAGAGAGAGAGAGAGAGAGAGAGAGAGAGCAATTACAGACACTGACGATCAGTAAATACAAGGTCTCTGCAGCTTAACAATTCTCTTATGTAAAATAATCACACCACTGATCTTGAAAATATTTCTGCTCTCAATTTACAGTGATTGACCCTTCAGAATCCACCTAATACAAGCAGGAAATTACACTAAACAGGTATGTATGTAATTTCAATGTCTGGAAAAATTGGTGTTGTTTACTTGCACTGATGGTGCTAATGCTGTTGAGCTAAAGTCTGATTGTCTTTTAAAAGCCCAGATAGCAACATATCATAACATAAAATATGTGTATATTACACAAACCACAGCAAACCACTTTACTCTGAAAAACAAACAAGCCAATACACCATTTTTTAAATGTGCTGCATTACAGACTGTATGGAAGCCCATTTCCACCACTGAATAAAAATAAAAAAGGTTAATCGTGACTTTTCATCTCCGAATTCTGACTTTTTTCCTTGCAATTGCGAGGTTACATCTTGCAATTTTGACTTTTCTCAGAATGGCGTGATATTTATTCGCAATTGCAA